TTATTGCCATATAATCACAATATATATCCATGGCAATGACAAAGGCAGCATATCCCCAGCATGGACTTTATCTTAAGGGTCTTCTCTAACCTTAATGATTCTTAAGTCTCATTTTTCCTCATAATTGGGATGCGTTCAAACACATAATCCTTGGGGCCATACCGCATTAAATTATACTCTAGATGCCAGGATTTCACCAAAAGATAAGACAAACCTAAACATTGCCAATTATATTATACATGGAAGTGAGCCATATCTAATGATGGTGGAGCAGGGACATCTTCCACTATCCCAGGTTGCTCCAAGCCCTGTTCAGCCTGGCCTTGGACACTTCCAGGAATGGGGCAGTCACACTGGCACAACCTGTCCCAGTCCCTGCTTTTGCCTTCTGCAGCTCAGGTGGGGTGGCTGGAGCACGTGTCAGTGCAGATCAAGGCAAAAAAAGTCATTGACTACCTCAGCTTTCTACATGTATTGGGTAGATAGGCCTCCTGTTTCCTTCTGGAGAGAGCCCACATTTTCCCTGTCTTCCTTTAATCAGCTGAATACCCCTGGAAACTTTTCCTAATGCCCTTGATGTCCCTGGCCAGTATTAACTCTGTCAGGGCTTTAACATTCCAAGCCAAATCCCTAACTGCTCGGGCCATTTCTTTGTCACTACAATCCCCGGTAGGGATGGAGGGGTAACTGCTGTTGCAAGGAGCTGTTCCAGAGCAGAACTGGCATTTGGCATTTCAGTTCTCTAAGCTGCAGACTTAGAGAACTGAAAAAGATGCCCCAGGCTTGGATGCAACAGCCGGTTCTCCCTGAGCTCACTGAAGAGTTGCCATAGAATAAAGGAGGATTCAGAGGCCAAGACTTGGATGCAAAAACAATTTTAATGAGTTGAATGAAGAAAAGGGGGAGAAAAGAGGGAGGCTCAGRGAGAGCACCAGGAGCAGCCACTAAGATGCAGTGGGGGGGTGCATCTGCCTAGGCTGCAGAGGAAAAGAGGCAGGGAGGGAGGCCAACAGGCCCCTCTAGGCTGGCATTGGGTGATGGTGAAAGGAAAGGAAGGGAAGGGAAGAGAGTGGAAGAAAAGAACAGTAAACCGAGGGCATAAAAAGATTTTTCCMAAGATCCATCTTCAGTCCAGCTCCATGTTCAGAGGTCTTGYAGGTTCTTGCCCAAGGAGGTTGCTAGCACATTTAGCAGGGAGGACAACATCTTCCACCATAGCAGTTGGTGATGCAGGAGAKGTCAAAGCCCCCAGAGCTGATGGGCACTCCACCACAGCTGAGGATGCTGCCAACRGCAGCAGAGGTAGAGGATCCCACCACGGTGTTCTGAGGGGAGGACTGAAGGATGGGGCCAGGCAGGGTCACCAGCACCGGGGAGGGCTGGATGGCCACGTGGGAGCTCTGGCACTGGCGGACACAGCACTCATTGCAGCTGCTGGCCAGCGGGCAGGGGCCGCAGGGCTGGCAGCAAGGGTTGCAGGAGGGTGGGCAGCAGGACATGGCTYGAGGTCACAGGTGCACCTGGCACAGAGGACAGGGACAAGGACAAAGTGAGGACACATGAGAAGCAGCACTGCCCCCAACCACCCTGCAGCCAAGGCACCTCCTGGCCTGCACTGCAGTGCCCAGCTCAGAGCCCACGAGCCATCTGAGCCAAGTCTCAGCCTCTCTCTGCACAAGACCTTCTCTTCCCTGCCCTCTCCCAGCACAAGCAGCTCCCAGCCCTGGGCTCCTAATGCTCCTTTCAGCTGAGACCTATAGCCAGGAAAGAGCCGCTCTTGAGGCAGAATGAGGAGGAGAAGAATAGGCTTCCCACTCACCTGGTTCCTGAGGAGAAGGTGAGAGAAGTGGATGAGGGAGCAGAGACTTGGGCTGCCTTTTATAGCAGTCCAGCACTGCCTCAGGCCCAGTAGCACCTTGGTGGAAGTAATAATTTTCTGACCTGCTCATGTCAAATGTGAACCATCCCAGCTAATGGTAGGGGCTGTGTCCTGGTTTCCTGCATTGTGGTCTTTGCATTTCCTGGTAATTCCGCATGCTTTCCTATATGAAGGGCTACTTCTGTTAGTGCCGGGAGGACAAGCACAAGGATTKCCGGGGCAGAAAGACGTAAGCACAGGTAAAAGGCTCTGATCAAGTGCCAGTGGTATCCCTTGTGGGCAGGTGATGTTCCCTTGGGTCATTTCTGAGTGAGTTGTTTGTGGCAAAGTTGTCAGGAAATGGGCAYCGCTCTTGTGCTTCTTGTTCACCTGCCAAAGAATTGCCACGTGAGGGGACATGACAGAGTATTCAGACCTTGTTTCTTTCTTCCAGTCTGCTATTTCTTCCCACGTGCTCTCTGTGTCTCCCCAGGCCAGCCTAGTAGGGCTGTGTGGCTTCATTCTTTCCAGTAACTCCCAACTAATAGAAAAGAAAGAAACAACTAAAGAAACCAGCCACTAGTGCTACAGAGAGAGAAGGACTAGATTTCTTTCGGCTGGTTCGCGGCCCACCAATGCTCAACTTAGGCTGATTAAAACAATTTGTTATACTTGTTACGATGGGATGTGGTACTCATGATCTAAATCACTTGTTGTATAATTAAGTGCTTACTGCTGTTAAGACTTGGTAGAAATAACAACTGGATATGACTCCTGAAAGAAATATTAAAATCTCAAAGGGGGAATGTATTACTGAACAAGTTCTATTTCTTAAAGAAGTCCTTGCAGCTGTGGTGGAAGATGGTGGAAAAGTCTTTTGACTTTAGCACATAGTGTATGATCCCTGTATTCGTGGTTAATGCTTATTTTGTAGCAGACAGTGCTTAGTACAAATACCAGAGATTAATGAGGTCTCGTGTTAACTCCCTAACATCTGTGAATAATAATTTTTGTGCCAGCKAATGGTTCCTTATTTACTTGTATCAGGGAATTTACTTGTACCAGCCAATATCTTAGTTTTGAGAGCMAGGATTGTGTGTCAGAGTGAAGAATGATAAGAGAAGTACATTATGATCACATACTTGAGATATTCTCACGGAGAAGATTCATCAGAAGATCTGGAACCATATCCAAACAAGTCCATTAGCATGTATGCAGGTATTCCAAAAAAGTGATGAATATGTGTTGGTTTTAAGAATACAACCTGGACTGCTGGATTGCTGGGCATGCTTTGAGGAGTCATCCCCAGGTATCCAGAGCTGCTAATAAAGTAATGTCGGCTTTCTGACCCAGGAAATCTGTTGGAGAATTGTCTTGGTTTGAAAGACAATTCTTTGTCTGCCAAGGAAGGCAGGAACCTCCCTCGGAATGGAAAATATGACCCCCTTCCCTCCGAATTATTATAACTTTGAAATTACAGGGCTTTCAGGCAAAGATATGGGAAAAAGGAAAACCAGTTCTTGTGAGCAAGGCAAACAAACAAGGACAGCAACAACAAACAGAACCAGAAACCCAGTGCCAGCCTTCCCTGGGCTGGGCTCCCTACAGTAAGGAAAGGGCAGTACAGGGCTGGRCTCTCTGGTGGCAGTGAATTCTCCCCGCAGTAAGCAAGAGCTCGACCGTAGCTGAGAACAAGAGAAAATTAAGAGCTGTACCCTGTCCCTTCCAGCCCAACCCAAAATCTCAGGGTATCTCTGATCTTCCCAAGAGAAARCYCTTCAGGTGAGAGAGTRGCAGCCAGCTGCACTCCTCCCCTTGCTCCATGGCTACATCTTTTGTCTTTTTTTAGTACCAATTGTTATTCTCWCTTAGCAACAAATGGGAGAAAATCCCCTAGGAGAAAGAAAATGAAAAATTCTAACCTCCAACAAGATTTTACTTCTGGGTTTTTAGTGACAACAGGGCTTTGAGCAGCCTGGTCTAGTGGAAGGTGTCTCTGCCCATGGCAGCGAGGTGGGACAAGATTGTCTAACCCCATCTAGTTGATGACTGCACGATCTGTGGGCTGTCTRTGGTAGATCCTGTCTTCACCAAGGTTCATCTTCCTTTGTCTTGCAGTCCCCCTTGGGCACWGGTTTGGTCAAAGGCTTCAGTCAACAAGACATTGATGGATAGATTACATCTAACCATACATGGGAAGAATGTGAATTAATAGTGAAGCCATAACTCACCTGCAGAAACTCAACCAAAAGTCATTTACCACTGCATATGCTGAGTATGGCTGATCCCAACCCTAACTCTTGAAAGACMTCAGCACTGTGTTTTAGGACAGAGCTGGGCAATGCGTGAGCTGAGGGACTGCATGAGGTGTGTATCTCATCTGCCTGTGCTGCTGTGTGCACGCTGTGGGCCCTAGACCGGGCAATGGAGGGGAGGAGAAGGTGGAGGTGAGATTGTGGGCTGTTCCCAGGCATTGCTCTTTCCCAGATGTTGGGAGGAAAAGAACTGGAGAGGAGGGTGGTAGATTCGCACAAAATGACTCTGTAGCTAGGGAGGCTGAGAATATCCATGTGGGAAACTTAACATATTTACAGCTGATTATCCTCTGACTCTTTTGAGTGATATAAAAGCCATCAGAACCTTAAGAGGCATCTTTCACAGTCTTGAGCCTCCTGCTGAGGCACAGAGAGATCACAAAGCTCAGAGGCCATAAAAGCACAGCATTGTGGTAAACTGTGAATGCGTGAGGCCCCTTGAGATACTGGGACAGGCAGAGAACTCCAGGATCAGACTGACCCTAATGGTGCCTCTGTCCCCATTTTTGTGTCTCTGCAGCCTGGCTGTGCCTTGGGATCCTTCATTCAGTGCAATAATGAAATAAATCTATTCCTTGCCTTTCAGCTGGTGATGTGGACATTATAAGTCACACAACACACCAGCCCATTCCTGCTACCCTTTGGAGCCTCGGTGCTCCTGATGGCCATTGACTGTGCAGTATCCAGGCAGGTTTTCCTCAGCTCCAGGGGAAAAGAGCACAAAGTAAAATTCACCACAGAGACTCCAGCCCTCTGCTTCTCCACCCTTTTTCCTGAGCAGATGGGAAGAATTGCTGTGGAAAGAAGGAGCACTCAGAGGACCTGGCTTGGATGCAAAACAATTTTATTGAGTGTAAAGAAGAAAAGGCTCACAGAGAGCGCCAGGAACAGCCACTAAGATGCAGTGGAGCTTCTGCAGGGTGTCCATCTGCCCGCCATGCAGAGGAAGGGAGTGCAACACGTCCCCACTTGGCTGGTCAGGGGAGACATGGACAGCAAAGGAGGGAGAGAAAAAAGTAAAAGAACGGAACAATGGCTTTAAGTACAATATCTCAAAGCTCTATCTCCTGACCAGAACCAGGTTCAGAGGTCTTGGAGGTTCTTGCCCAAGGATGCTGACAGCAGATTTAGCAGGGACGGCACCTGCTGCCACCATAGCAGTTGGTGATGCAGGAGAGGTCAAAGCCCCCGGAGTTGATGGGCACTCCATCACAGCTGAGGATGCTGCCAACAGCAGCCGAGGTGGAAGATCCCACCACGGTGTTCTGAGGGAAGGASYKRAGGATGGGRCCAGGCAGGGTCACCAGCACMGSRGRSGGCTSRATGGCCACRKKGGAGCTCTGRCACTGGCGGACACAGCACTCATTGCAGCTGTTGGCCAGCGGGCAGGGGCCGCAGGGCTGGCAGCAAGGGTTGCAGGAGGGTGGGCAGCAGGACATGGCTCGGGGTCACAGGTGCACCTGGCACAGAGGACAGGGACAAGCACAAAGTGAGGACACATGAGAAGCAGCACTGCCCCCAACCACCCTGCAGCCAAGGCACCTCCTGGCCCGGACTGCAGTACCCAGCTCAGAGCCCAGGAGCCATCTGAACCAAGTCTCAGGCTCTCTCTGCACAAGACCTTCTCTCCTCTGCCCTCTCCCAGCACAAGCAGCTCCCAGCCCTGGGCTCTAAATGCTCCTTTCAGCTGAGACCTACAGCCAGGAAAGTGCTGGTCTTGAAGCAGAAGCACGAGGAGAATGAGAAGAAGTGGCTTCCCACTCACCTGATTCCTGAAGAGAAGGAGGTGAGAGAAGTGGATGAGAGAGCAGAGACTTGGGCTACCTTTTATAGCAGTCCAGCACTGCCTCAGGCCCAGGGGCACCTTGGTGGAAGTAATAATTTTCTGACCAGCTCATGTCAAATGTAAACTATTCCAGCTAATGGTAGAGGCTGTGTCTTGGTTTCTTGCATTGTCTCCTTTTCATTTCCTGGCACGTGCCATGTGCCTTCCTACATGAATTCTTCTGTAAGTGCTGAGATGAGTGGCCCAAGAATTTCTGGGCCATAAAAAGAACAGCACAGGCAGGATGCTCAGATCTTCTCCGATCAATGAGTCAGTGGCATCCCATGCCGGCACATAATGTAAACCTGTGTAATTTCTCTGTGATAGAATGGCAAAGTAGAGTTCTCCTGTCTTGGCATCCAGGCAGGGGACGCTTTGGTGCAATGCTCTCCTACCTGCCCACCTTGAAGGATGGGGCTCACCCTGGAAGAAAAATGGGAGGAGGCAGAAAAGAGCCATTATGTACTGACCCAAACTCTCCCATTCCACTCCCACCAGTGCCCTGTAGGACTGGAGGAAATAGAGGATTCTTGAATGAAGTAAGGGAGYTGAATCTTTAAGAAAGAGATGTGGATGGACTGAATCAGAGAATTGAAGAATCATAGAATGCTAAGGGTGGGAAGGGACCTTAAAGATCATCTAATCCAACCACCCCAGTGAGCAGGGACACTGAAATTAATTTAGGAGTTGTTAAGAGTTGTTGTGGGGGAAAGGGGGTTGCGAGTTTTTTTTTTTCTTTTTTTTTTTTTTTTTTTTTTTTTTTTCTCCATATTTTTTTTTTTTTTTTTCATTGCAAGTATCTTGAACAAATGTTCTCAACTCATCCCTCACTGACCCTTTCTCCTGGCCAAGCCACTCTGTGTGTTTCCCAGACTGGTCTTTCAGAAGTCCTCAACTGTCTCTGTAATTCAAAATTTCTGAGGTTCATTTTACAATTTAGAAACAAAACAGAGCAAGACTGTGAAAAAAACCCACTGAAATAACTTCATCTCCAACTCTTTTTCAGAATTGCAACTGCTCTTTGTCATTCCTCATTCTCTTCCATTTCCTCCATTTTTAAGCAGCACAGTGGGGTGTAGAATAAGGGGCTGCAGTTAGCACACAACAGATTTTTTGGGCAAAGATTGACTTTAACAGACCTGATCATGAAAAAGCAACAGGAGTTTGCCTACCAACTCACATATTCCTATCTTTCGAGGCACAGTTGCTAGACATGCAGACAATTTTTTTTTTGGGAGGTCCTTGTGCTTGAACATGGAAGCAGTTTGAATCAAAGATGTCTGATTTCCCCTGTACCACACAGAGAATCTGTTCTACCTCACACAAGAGAACACCACCCAGGTTCCAGTCCCTTCAGTCCAACACCCATTTGCTGTGAGGTGCAGCCACTTCCTCACTCAGCACCAGACGGATGAGCTGTACAAGTACATCCGGCATTTGGTCCAGAGAGGATGAAACTGCATCCCATCCCAGTCACAAGCAACATTCCAGGGTCAATTCAGAGACTTTAATTCAACAGTCTGCCTGGAACCACTCAAAAATCTGTGCGCTCATATAAGGACAGGAAAAACTCAGCAGCTGGGGCCACTGCTGACACACCATGTCSCCTCACGTGGCAGTCCTTGGGCAAGAAGCATAAATGTTGCCCATTTCCGGGCAACATTGCCGCTAACAAACCCACAGGAATGACACAGGTTCACATCAGCTGACAGTATGGAATGCTACCAAGTCCTTGACCTGAGCTTTCTGCCTGCACTGATGTGTTTACATCCCGGAAAGCCTTGGGCTTGTCCTCCCAGCACTTACAGAAGCCCTCGAGCTTGGGGAAGAATGCCACACGTGCCAGGAAGTGAAAAGGAGACAATGCAGGAAACCAAGACACAGCCCCTACYATTAGCTGGGATAATYTGCATTAGRCMTGACTTGGTCAGGAAATTATTACCTCCACCAAGGTGCCTCTAGGCCTGAGGCAGTGCAGAACTGCTATAAAAGGTAGCCCAAGTCTCTGCTCTCTAATCCACTTCTCTCACMTCCTTCTCTTCAGGAATCAGGTGAGTGGGAAGYCTCTTCTCCTCATTSTCCTCRTGYTTCTGCTTCAAGACCAGCACTTTMCTRGCTGTAGRTCTCMGCTGAAAGGGGCATTTAGAGCCCAGGGCTGGGAGCTGCTTGTGTTGGGAGAGGGCAGGGGAGAGAAGGTCTTGTGCAGAGAGAGSCTGGKAYTGGGCTCAGGTGGCTCCTGGGCTCTGAGCTGGGCACTGCAGTGTGGGCCAGGAGGTGCCTTGGCTGCAGGGTGGTTGGGGGCAGTGCTGCTTCTCATGTGTCCTCACTTTGTGCTTGTCCCTGTTTTTTGTGCCAGGTGCACCTGTGACCCCGAGCCATGTCCTGCTGCCCACCCTCCTGCAACCCTTGCTGCCAGCCCTGCGGCCCCTGCCCGCTGGCCAACAGCTGCAATGAGTGCTGTGTCCGCCAGTGCCAGAGCTCCCACGTGGCCATCCAGCCCTCCCCGGTGCTGGTGACCCTGCCTGGCCCCATCCTTCAGTCCTYCCCTCAGAACACCGTGGTGGGATCTTCTACCTCAGCTGCTGTTGGCAGCATCCTCAGCTGTGAGGGAGTGCCCATCAACTCTGGTGGCTTTGACCTCTCCTGCATCACCAACTGCTGCAGTAGCAGCAGCTGCCGTCCCTGCTAAATCTGCTGGCAACGTCCTTGGGCAAGAACCTCCAAGACCTCTGAACCTAGTTCTGGGCAGAGACAGAGCTTTGGGACATTGTATTTAGTGTCTGAGCTATTGTTTCCTTATTCTAYTCTTCTCCCTCTTTATTTGCTGTCCATGTCTCCCCAGGCCAGTCTAGTGGGGATGTGTTCCACTCCCTCCCTCTTTTGGGCAGACAGATGGACACCCTGCAGGAGCTTCACTGCATCTGAAGCTGCTCCTGGTGCCCTCTGTGAGCCACCTCCTTTTCTTCTTTCGACTCAATAAAGTTGTTTTGCATCCAAGCCTGGGGCTTTGACTCCTTCATTCTCTGCCAACACTTCCAGTCTGCTCAGGAAAAAAGGGGTGGAGGAAACAAAGAGTAAGACTCCCTTGATGCAGTGGATGGGATTTTTTTTTSTTCTCATGGAGAAATATTCTGCAACTCAGTTCTGCTCTGGTTTTTATCAGGAGGCATGGAAACTCGGTATGGCCCCTCTGTAGGGACTTCACCGGTTCACTCCAGCCAGCCATCTCCCTTCACCTTCTTACCCAGATAGATWAGAGGGCTGGGAAATCACCAGCTCTATGAAGTTTAACTAACACTAGTGCTGTATTCTGCATCTGCGATGGGGCACCCCGGATGTAAGGACAGACTTGGGAATGAGGTGCTGGAGAATGGCACCACCAGGATCTGGGGATCCTGGTCAATGGCAAGATGGATATGAGTCAACAGTGTGGCTTAGAAGCCAGGAAGGCCACCTGTGTCCTSGGGTGCATTGGGGACAGTGTTTCCATCCAGTCCTTTCCAGTAAATGCAAAAAATATTCAGCTTGCAGTTTTCCTTTACTAGTTTACCCTGTCTAGTCGTCTCTGGTAGTGAAGTGAACAGGAGTTGAAGTTTCAATACAGCACAACAGGTCTCAGGATCACATTGTTCAAGCTGCAATAGGAGGGATGGGRAATCCAGCAGACACAGGAGGAAGGGATGAAATATTCCTGTCTACCTCTGGAGTCAGTCAGTTTGAATATCACCTTGCATCCACTCAGGAAATTCTCGGTAGCAGCCAGATGGGATAAAACTGAATCCAGGGCATGGAGGGATCAGGAGTGAGGGCACTGACTGAGGGACTGGGTGCAGATGTCAGTAGTGGTCTTTCCAGGAATGGAAGCCTCTAGGGAAAGGAAGGCTGCAGGTTGCCTGAAAACTGATAGTTGAACTTGGCAGGCAGCTGCAACTTCTGCAGATGAAAGGCTTCACCTGGCAAAGGCTAAAACATTTTTCCATTTTTGCTTTGGATGAAAATATTTCAAGAGGGCTGCTGTATGAAAATGTTTCATACAGGGCTGCTTTCCCTGTATGGTGATGCTGCTGATGCTGGAGTTCCCCTCTGCTYCCTGAGGCCCTGAGGCCCTGAAGTCAAGGCCAAATGTTTGAATGCCTGATAGAAATAGTAGAAGAGAACAGCATTTTACTTGCTTCATAAGGATAGAACAGAACGACATTTTACTCTTACCAAGTAAAACGAACTATGTAGCCTTGGAGAATTAGACAAGGCTGATGAAAGAGAAGTCATGCAAAACAATGGTATTGTGCATTACTCAAAAGCTGAGGTCAAGGAACAGCCCCTTAAAAATCTTGGGGCACCAGACATTGATGACTACTGAAGAAGACCCCAAAAAACCAAATAAAGACTTGCAATAAGGGGTGTGACTATGTAAAATAAAGTAATGCATATATATCAAGTAAGCGGGGATAGCAAATGGATATGTAATCAGTGTGTATGGTAAAAATTCTGTTTACTCTACACTTGGTGCATTTGATTAGAGAAAGGATCCTCTGAGTGCCCAGCACTGCAATAAAGAATGCCTGCTTTCTAATACTCAAAGCTATGTTAAAAGGTTTGTAACTGGAAAATTTTGGTATCATGCCAATGCTCTATCTTTAACTGCTGCTGTGTTAAATTCTGTACACCTGGTAACTCATATTCAGAGAGCCTCCCACTCATGGATGGCAGCCAGGGATGTAAATGAAATGGRGTTTTATTCCATGCAGGGAACTTGACATATCAATTCACACTTGTCTGGAAGTGATGACAATACACCTTTACCAGACTCCTACGGGGGTAGGAGTGCCCGATGATCTGCTGAACTTTTATTTTCTCACTCCATCTGGACATGAAATGATTTTTAATCACAGAAGACCCCTGCCYGAAAAGGTGCTAAAGCTGCTGGAAGCGTCCTTGGGCAAGAATCTCCAAGGCCTCAGAATATGGTGCTGGCCCAAAGATAGAGCTTTGGGACATTGTATTTAGAGCTTCAAGCCATTGTCCCTTTCTTAGATTTTTTCTCTGCACAGGTTGGAAGGCATTCTTGGCCGTTTTTTCCTGAAAACAAAGCAAGAAATGTAGCATATAGGAGGCAGAGGCTGCATTTCAGTTCTCTGGGCACTTCACTGCGAGCACTATTCAGTAGATTATTATGTAGATTGACTTCTTCTGGCAAGGGTATCCAGCTACTCTGTGGTGCTGAAGGACACACCAAGATGGGGCTGATTGCAGAAATCATCATGTGCCGTCATGATGAGGTTCACAAACACACACAGACTGAATCGTGTGTGCTCACGCATGGCTGCATGGAGCCAAGCAAAACTCTGTACATTCACAGAAGAGCAGAAAAACATCAATAACTCAGAGCATTGCTGAGGAGAGATTGGGAACAACTCTGAYGGGAGAAGACTCAGGTATACTGGGGAAAGAAAAGGTCACAAACACACAGATGGTGTTCAGAGAGGACCAACAGAGCAGAGACTGCTCAGTAAGAGGATGAGGCAAATGAGACCAGCTGCATTTTCCCTAGTAATGTTTATGTAGCAACAGGGTCAGTGCAGCAATGACTGACTGTCACAAACAGCTGGGGAATAAAAATTAGAATGCTTAATGTACCCTCAAATGGCAGTCCTTGACGTGCAGGTGGGGAGGAATGACAATATTAGCACAAAAATGCACACAGACCTGACACAGGTTCACATCAACTGACCACATGGAATGCCACCAACCCTGGAACTGAGCCTTCTGCCTAAGCTGCATTGTTTATATCCTGGAAATATTTGGGCCTCTCCTCCCGGCACTTGCAGAACACTTCCTATAGGAAAGCACATGAAATTACACAGGAAATGAAAAGACCACAATGCAGGAAACCAGGACACA